GTTGTTTATGGATCTAAAAGCGGTATCTTATTACTTTATAACTACAAGAATAACATCTCTTTATGAGTATTTTCTATAAATCTCTTGACAGAGACTTTAATCAGATACCACATATCGTAATTTATTCAGTCTTGCATAAAATAGAATTAAGTAAATATATCTCTATATGGATTATTTTGTCTCAGCAATCAATTTAATGAGATATTAATAAAAAACTTGTTATTTTGGAGATTATTCAGGCATTTTCTCCAAACCAAATAAAGAAGATTAATTTGAGACAAATGAAAGATTGGGTTAGTTCTAATCTAATTGGTTGCACATTATAAGCATGTAAATTATAATACTCTTGATTCAGGCTATCCAATAAAGGTATCGAATTAAATTTTGTATGAAAACACATCGTTTTTACACGCGAACAGAATTATATCTTACATAAGTTTTACATGTGGTTATTATCAAGCGACGTTTAAAATAAATAAAATACGTGTTTGGTATCGCCACCTTTATATTTTGTATGTGACTGAAACAAGGCAATTCATTTAGAGGGACTCAACTGAGGTTTTTTGACATGATGGGACTGAAAATATTTTTTCCAGATAAATGTACCATTTGATGTAGGTTTAGACCACTAATCTTTGTGCAAAATTTCAGATCATTCGCGCACTTCGTTTTGCCAGAATAATTATTCAAATTGAAAAAAATGACCCACAATGAAAAGCGTTTAAACGCTTTTCACTCAAATCAGGCTAAGGAAAGCATAAAAATACGATTTTCAATTTATTTCAAAGTATATTTCTGATCTATCTTTGCATATATTTCTGTTTAAAGTGCCCCCAGCACATTAATGTAAGAAATTCAAATGTTATGTTTTTAGGCCTTTAAACGTCCGTGAAGAGACTTTAAAGGTGTGATGCATCTTATTATAAACAATATTTTGATCATATCCTGTTAGAATAAATAATCATACACTTGGTGTTGATAGACACATATATGACAAAATGTGATCCCTCGGAGGCATTTTCACAACAAAATTACACAAAAATTGCAGACTCGGTTTAATTGTATCTGTACATTACGGATTATGAGAAAGTGCAACATCATTCACACCCCTAGCACCTGCTTGAGTGATACTCACTATTCAACACTTAATGTGCTGTAATCAATGATCCCGAAGGACCAGAGAAATATAACAACACTGAAATGAAGTACTGGGCAGCGTTGTACAGCTGCCACACAGCACTTGACACCTGCTGTTGTGAAGTAAAATAAATCTGGAAATAAACAAACAAACTAATGACTGCATTTTCAGGCAAAGTACAAATGTATATGAAATGTTAAAAGAAACGCTAAAAAGTGCAAATTTATTAAAAAAAAAACCAAACATTTAAGGTATCACGATTATAACACGAACCTAACTAATACTGATATTGCCAATTTTCTTCAACATTCCCCGTTTAGTAGTTTGCTCTCTCAGCAATATCATACTTTGAAGAAATCTACATCCAATCAAACCACTATTTTTTATTTTACGAAAATGGTGAAAACAATGTTAATTTGCAGTACTATAAGGATATTTGTCTTGGGGAAAAAATGGATAATTAAACTACTTGTCTTGAGCAAGTCGCATAACTGTATTTTTGTTGACAAAAATGCAGGACTTGTTGCTATTTTATCTTGTGTTAGTTAGTCGTATCTTGCTTTATAAAAACGGGATTCTTTCATTGTTTGTTGAAAGAAGGCCTTTAACATAGATCTTTGACTTGTCTAATTCGAATAAGTGGATGCACGGACTTAAATTACAATTAAAGCCCGTGGTTGATACAATATGATTTTCAACATTACATATTTGCTAAGTAAGCATCTATCAATTCAAGCGTTGTGCGAGAAATGGCACTCATTATTTATTGGTTAGTCATATAAAATTATGCAAATCAAGTAGATTTGTTTTTATATTTCGACAATAGAAAAGACACTCATTTATAATTTACATGATATGTCGACCTTGAAAAAAGTTAACAATATGTACAAACAAGGCATTTCCAATGTACATATAAAAAGAACTTGAATTTCATTTCAGTAGGTAAACTATCCTCATGGAAATGATTTAACTTCTTTATTATTCATTTAGCTATTATACATGAAAAGCTCGCGAATAATATATCGGTCCTATGGAAATAAATAAATAAATAAATAGATAAATAAATTTAATCAGTATCACCACGAATTGGAAATATCTGAAAAAGTAAACGGCTAATAATTAAAGTTTAGGCATCATTTGACTTGGCTAGTATTAATGTTTAACATTAAAAGTAGGTAATAATTTATCAAGAAATTTAAGCAAAAAATGAGACTGATTTACTAAAGACATTTACATATGCTATGAAATTTGACTAGGCCGGGTAAATAAAAACATAACGTCTCATATAATTGTACAGTTCTTGTCGGTTTATTTATTTTATACAAACTAACTAGTTATTGTTTAAATTTACTTTTGTTCATATGAATATAGTTTCAGGTTCCGTGAATGTTGATGTATAAAAAAATGGGCAATCCATTTCCATCACATACCACTCAATGTTGATGAATCGCGTGTCCTACTTCTTGCACACCCTGTTTACTGACGCTTGATACCATGAATTATTCGTTTACCTAGTATTCTTTTTAGCCCCAAAGTGTTGTTAAAATGTTGTTATTAACGTGAACGTAACGGTACGCTTATTTTATGTCGGTATTTGGTAGATAAGTTTTTTTCCGTTTTCGAAAAGTCCGAGTGTGCGTAATTGTAAGTTTATGTTAATATATGCTTATATATTTATTTATTTATTCTAAATTGATGCAAAGATTATCTCGTAACGGATAGATAGTTACACAATAATAATTACACTTAATTACCTTTCTGTCAAACCAAAAGAGCTACGAAGGGTAAAAGTGGAAATAGAATAAAGAATTTAACCTGCCTGTTACATTAGTGCAAGTAACATATGAAGCAACAGTTAACTTAATAAGTCAACTGTTACGTATTTTGACGAATATATAACTTAAACAGTACCGCTTATATCGTGAAACAAATTAAAATAAAAACAACAATAACAAGCGATAAAAAATAACAATTACTAGTAATTAAATGTATTACTACACAGTCACAATCGGCAATAAGTTTTCCGAATACCTGCTGAACAATAACAATAACACAATCAAAGAAAAAAATCAATAAAAGTATGATTGTATAAAAAGACAAAAACACTCTGCACTCTGTTACTTTGTATCAGTTGTTCTTCATTCTTGGGATATGTCTTACATGCGTAACTTGCAAAAAAATCGGTAATATAAAATAGTTAAATAAGTTTATGAATAGTGCATATAAAAGTTTGAGTTACAATGTGAAAATGAAAAGAAAGGAAAATGACTGCAAATAAAGCACTAGAAACATATAAGTTATTCGCGTAGACTCGGTGAATTTACGTTCTTCTAAATTTAAAGCTATACGCCTATAGATGACCGAAAATACGTCAAGGAAAATCAGCCTAATAAAATTTTTAAAAGAAATCTTTTAAGTAAAATTAAAAGGATTCCAGATTTAAGTAATAATTTACATATTATATTCGATTAATGATTGATTTTCAAGTAGATATATCTTCATATTTCCACTGCGTGACTAACGCAGTAAGGGCTATTTTTTTTAAACATTTTGACATCTTTTTGGTAATTTACGTGAATGTTAAGAGCCGTTTACATAGTGAAAATACTTTTTGGTCCCTTCATAATATTTTACTTGCTTAAATACATTTTCAAGATTTTAATGTACATAAGTATGAATCTGGAGGTATGCCGCTTTAATCAATTAAACTCAAGCAGGATAATAACCTTTAAAATACAAAAACAAAAACAAAAACAAAAAAAACAACTTTCCTCGACGTTGACTGATCATGTTAAATTGAAAAAACAAGTTTTTGCCCTTTTTGTTCTCAACGTTAATAAAACAATGTTTTTTAGTTTTTAGCTCACCTGTCACTTTGTGACAGGGTGAGCTTTTGTGATCGCTTTACGTCCGGCGTCCGTCCGACTGTCCGTCGTCCGTAAACTTTTATTTTAAATGACATCTCTTCATAAACCAATAGGCCAATTTCATCCAAACTTCACAGGATTGTTCCTTTGGTGGTCACCTTTGAAAATTGTTCAAAGAATTTAATTCCATGCAGAACTCTGGTTGCCATGGCAACCAAAAGAAAAAACTTTAAATTTCTTCTTCTAAAAAACCCAAAGAGCTAGAGCTTAGATATTTGGCATGAAACATCTTCTAGTGAGTGTCTACCAAGTTTGTTCAAATAAAAGCCCTGGGGTCAAAATTGGCCCCGCCCAGGGGGTCATTGATTTTCCCTACATGTACATAGTAAAAACATAAAAAATCTTCTTTTAAAGAACCCGAAGAGCTAGAGCTAAGATATTTAGGATGAACCATGTTCTAATGGATGTCTACCAAGTTTGTTCAAATAAGAGCCCTTGGGTTAAAATTGGCCCCGCCCCGGGGGACATTGATTTTCCTTATATGTGTATAGCAAAAATTTATAATTCTTCTTCGGAAAAAATCGATTAGCTAGAGTTTAGATATTAAGCATGAAACATCTTCTAATAAGTGTCTACAAAGATTGTTCAAATAAAAGACCTGGGGTCAAAACTGGCCCTGCCCCAGGGGTGTAATTGTTTTTAAATATATGGTTAAAGAAAAAACTTAAAAAATCTTCTTTTAAAAAACCCAACGAGCTAGACCTTAGATGTTTAGCATGAAACATCTTCTAATGATAGTCTATCAAGTTTGTTCAAATAAAAGCCCTGGAGTTTAAACTGGCCCCGCTCCGTGGGGCCTTTATTCAGGTGAGCGACTTCAGGGCCATCATTGCCCTCTTGTTGTTTGTTTGTGGTTCTTTCGCAATATTCATATCCTTGAACGATACACCTTAAGGTCATTGACATACGTGAAAGAAGTAGGACACGCAGTTAGAAGAGTATAAAAAGGAGAGCTTGCCGAATGATGTTTCATAAACTTCTTACAACTTGCAAAGATGAATTGGTCAACGCTTATATTATGTTTATTCGCAGTGGTACTTGAAGTTTCGAGTGTTGCACTAAAGAGCAAACCGACTACAAGTGTTTTCAGGTAAGTTGATATTCATAATCACGTTGATGTTTTTAAAGAGGGATAATGCACTTTTTTTTTTCGTGCATTATCACCTGCATATTCACATAGACGCATTTAATGCCCGAACCAGCATTAACTCCATCATGTATAGGTTAAAGTTTATTAGTGCGTATTTACAAAAATAAATTAGTCAGGCGCGGCGCAGCCGCGCGACCAATTTTTTTGTAAATGCGTACTAATAAATTTTAACCGGTTAGTGTTTTAATTTTTTTTGTACACTTTCAACATGTCTCCGCCCTCTTTCGTCATGCGATGTTGATTGACACCCCGAAACACAAAAATCATGCCTGTCAATAACGGCGACGTCTGATGTTTTACCGCCTTATGCAAAGTAGAATCGCACTTAGCTGCCACTTAATTCGTAATGGTCAAGGATTATGTTTAATGTTTATAGTTATGATGTTTATAAGGACATTGGAATTCGCATTCATGACGAAGGAGTGTGTTAACTGCTTTTACAAATAAATCTACGGACGAGTAATATGTTAGGACAAAGTAAGGTACCTGTCCAGCATTTTCTTGTTTTCAATGTTGCTCTTTTACTTTAATTATTAATTGGAATATAAGCCTTGATGTAACGCCTTTTCTCATTTTTATTCAAAATCTCATTACAGCTTTTCGGCCAGTTATTGCAAATGGGCATTAAAGCTAGAATTCCCCCGGTCACAAGTTCTCTAAGGAAACTTTAAAGTGACATTATGCTCATATTTTCATAGTCAAGTTGAGCTGAATTGACTTTACATTTCAAAAAGTTGACTGTCAAAAATTAAATGGTGTTTGGCCAACAGTTGATATTGGAAAATGTTTAGGAGAAAATTATAAATACGCCTAAAATTTTAAAAGACTGCCCCTTTCTTTTTATTAACTAAGCGTTATAGGTAAATTCTAATGGATCTTTATAAAAATTACATTTGGATCTGTGTTATTTATTGTTTATGCGAACTTTATTATCAAATTGAAAGGAATTATGGCAAAATGAAAACTTATTTCGATCTTCACCCGTTCACTTACTGAATACCCTTGTGTGGGCATAATATCACTTATAACGACATGCAAAACTTCAAAACATATAAATCGCTGTACTTTTTTTAACTGCTGTATTGCATAGAAAACAAAGTGCTAGGAAACCAGTAATGTTTTCAATTAAAACGTTCAGATTGAAAACTCGGATTAAAAAAACTGTTCATCAATATTACATATAATTTTTGTTTCTGGAGTGAATAAATTTGATTGTTTTCACGGCTACTTTCTCTTATATTTAATCCTATGTATTTCTATGAAAAAAATGTCCACGATATTGTAAGACGAGCGTCTAAACTAACAGCATCGCACGAATGTAAACAAAAAAACCAATATCCCTGTAGCTCCGCCTCCAAGGCACACATGCGTAATAGCGTCGGTTAATCAGTTCATTCGATTTACCTGGTTAGTAGCACTGGTTGTTTAAAGCTCATTTACTAAAATAAATTCTTTCAAAATTTGAAAAATACTGCCATCTCATTGGACAAAAAATAATTTCAAACACTAATGCATATATATGTCTGATTCGGCAATAACATGCTTAGCTATTTATCATATAGAATAAAACGTTAATGAATTAAAGCATTGATGATCTGATACAAAATCACCTAAAATGAATTTGTTTAAAATGAGAAAAATATAACTATGTTAATATAGATCTAGAATTACAGTCATTATTATTTAAGTTGAAAAATTAAAGATACATTTACGAATTTTCTTTCCCTTCGTTAACAAACAAGTATTTACATCAAAACTGTAAACTATTACTAAGTATTATTTTAATATCTATTTGAATTAAATTTCAATTGTGTTACAATTCATATTTTTACTACTTCTGTTAAATAATTTCCTTATATTAGATTAGTGTTTTTATGCATTCGTACACAAGAAGGAACTGAGATATAATGTATACTACCGGCTTCATATCATGTAATGTGGGTATGACATTGTGTATATGATATAATTTCTTTGCAGCACTGACAATGCGCTTCAAACGTCTGACCTTGAGAAGGGAGGATGGCAAATGGTTTTCCGCGCAGCTTCCGGAAATGGCGATAGCGTTTACGACGCGTGGTTAAAAGGTACACACCTCACTTTAAATAGTCTGTTACCTGATTTCTTAATCTTTATGTTATTTGTATTCAAGATATTTATTGATATACTGATATATTTCACAGTAACAAATTTAAAATTTAAACATCTTTTTGATATGAATATACATTCACTTTTATTGAAGATATACGACAGAACTTAATTAAGTTTGTTTAATGAGATTTGTTTTATAATTCATTTTGGAACATAGTGTTGTTTCAGAAAAAAATCCTGTAAATTTATAAAAAGAAGAAAAATCAACAACAACAATAAAAAAATACAAGAAACAAACCAACAACAACAACAAACAACAATCCAACGACAATTAAAAACATAAAGTATACGTATTTTTTTTATTTTTTTAGGAACAAAGACAAATGCTGATAAGCCCGTCTCGATGAAAAGATCACACGCTTTGCACTACCGTAACCCTATTGTTGATAACTGGCCACAGCTTGGTGTGAAATACGTAAAATTTGCCTTCTACGACGAAGACAAAGAAGTTGCACACGTTATTTTCGATGGTGCGAATAGTGACATAAAGACCTGGTTCGCCAAACAAAACGTATTGACCTCCAGCTGGCCGGATCTGACCTCAACACAGTCATACAATTATTTTTCTATCGACGGTCATTACATGGTTGGTCGACATGACAGGCGATTCTTCATCAATAAGTTATACGCAGGATGTCCAGGAGATCTCGGCTACTTGGCGGTGATCAACTCAAAGACCCCGGCCGTTTGTTTGTGGGACAATCATGCTACATATCCACAGTTCATTTATTCCAAGTTTACCTCTGTAGACTACTTTGACAGACGCATGTTTGGTACTGCTGACTTCATGGCAATTTTTATAAAAACAAGCGTTTAAAGCGTTAGACTATATATGCATTTCTCTTTTAAATGAATTAATTTACAGAGTTTATGACGATGCTATACGAAAACCTATATCAAAACAAGCGCAGGTCAGTTGATTATATGGTAATTTTAAATGAACAAGTATAACACAAAATATTATATACGGCTTTTCTTCTCAAAACAAGTAATTAACATTATTGCAACAATTATCAAGAACGATGTTTGAAAAAATGTAGACCAGCAGTTATTGTATTTTATCATTTCATTTGAGTATGTTTTGATTTTTAGCAGTTACGATAGATAAGAAAATGCTATCATAAGTAGATTCTCATGCATAATTTAGATGATAATATACAATCTTTTATAAGATATATGTATACCTTGATAATATAACTTTAATCTATAGAACTCCATGCTCATTTACTTATCTTTGTTTTTGTTTTTGCTTCTCTATATTTTGTTTATATGGTACATAAGTTCTTTTTTATGAATTATGTATATGTTTGCAATAAAGATAAAATTTAAAACCAAAATGAGTTTTCTGTATATATTGCCGTGTGTACTCATCCCTCCTCTCAAGTTTGTACTTGTTACAACAAAATTCGAGAAAAACAAAGAATCCCTGGAGAACGCACATTTTTAATCTTTTTGATTGACGCAACTGAAAACTGCAAGGTACCGTTCATATCCCTTTGCACTGGCTTAAGCAGAATTCATAATTTTAACATGGAAATGGTGAAACTTTAAATTTAGAAACAGAAGTTGAACTTTCAGTTTGAATACAGCTTGACCCTATTACTTTTCCCATGTCGTACTTCCTCGCCCAATATGTTAAGTAATATAAATCCCCTTTTTTGGGTTTACATCTGTGTGAAGAATTCAATATATACACTGGCTGTCATTTACTTTCACATGCTGTACCTGTCACTGGAGCAAATTAAGTAAATGTCAGATCAATACATTTATGATTATTTAAGTCGATGTCGTCTATGGAATAATTGTATTTATTCTCCTTCAAGCTATTCTGATTAGCATCTCTTAAGCAACTTGTTCAACTAATACTATATAATTATCGAGTGCTACATATACCATGTACAGTGTGCTAATCGCCTGACTCGCCCATAGTCTCATTTGTTCTTAATGTTCCTTTCGCATTATTAGTATCTACTTTCACGATAGATAAATAATTTGTTTGTATTGTTTTAGAGCAAATGAAAATGCTGATAGTTTCCCGTTTAGATATGTAATATATAGCATATGGCGATATACAAATACACTTTCTTTATATTTTAGGCCTGATAGGTATAATCAGAGCAATATTTTGACTGTTTCCTTAGTAACGTAGTAAATAGTCACAGTCACGCAAAGAAGATGACGTATCTTTTATTATCATTATTCGTATCTACATATACTCACAACATTTTCATTGTTTCCCTTTACTACTATATGTCACTTGACTACGTTTGTTTCATTGTTGTTTACTCAGTTGCTTAAGGTTTCAATAAAAACTTGTGTAAGCGAAAGTATTTCAAATTTGTAGTCATTATTAAAGATTAATATTTCAAAATTTTTAGAGGAACAAGATATTTAGTTTGAGAAATATGGCATTCAGATGACAAAACTAACAAATATTTTTTCATAGAAAATTACAATTTACCAAATGATTCAAATCGCAAGACAGAGCTGTATCACCTGCACAGTGGGCAATATACTGCCGTTGATATGGTTTCTGATTTATCATAATGATTGTCCGGTACATGTATCTCACTGGTTAAATGAATAAATTGCCGTATCATTATAACATATAAAAATATTTCAAACAAAAATAGTTCTTCTTGTTATCAAATCATTTGTCTATGGACCGTATTTCTTTACCATATTCTGTATAATTATGAAAGTTGAAAACTCCGCTACAGGGCATGCTGAGAAAAACTTTTTGTCCTTTTTGTTCTCAACGTACTAAATAAAAATGTTTTTAGTTTTTTGTTTGTTTGTTTGTCTTTCGCAATATCCGTATCCATGAACGGTACACCTTTAGGTTATTGATATACATGCATTTAGAAGAGTATAAAAAGGTGAGCTTGTCGAATGGTGTTTCATAAATTCTTTTCAGCTTGCAAAGATGAAGTGGTCAACGATTATTATATGTTTTTTCGCAGCGGTACGAAGTTTCGAGTGTTGCACTACATAGTACACCGCCTACAAGTGTTTTCAGGTAAGCTCATATTCATTATCATGTTGATGCTTTTAATGAGGGTTAATGCACTATTTTTCGAGCATTAACATCTGCAGATTCACATAGACGCATTTAATGCGCTAGCCCGCATTTGCTCCAGTCTTGCATTCAAATGTCTGATTCGGTAATACCGTGGTTCGTTATTTGTCATATAGAACAAACCGGCAGTACAGCATTGATGATCTGATAAAATATCACCTAAACTAATCTTTTTTATGTTAATATCGATCAAAAATTAAAAAGTCATTATTATTTAAGTTGACAATTAAAGATACATTACGAATTCTCTTTTTGATGTAAACACACAAATGTTTACATCAAAACTATAAAATATTGCTAAACATTATTTAATATGTATTTGAAGTAAATTTCAATTTGTATTACAATGCATATTTTTACTACTAGTGGTTAAACATTTCGTTATATAAGATTATTATTTTTATGCATCCGTACACAAATAAGAACTGAAATATAATGTAAATTGCCTGCTTCGTATCGTGTAATGTGGGTATGACATTGTGTAAATGATATTATTTCTTTGCAGTACTGACAATGCGCTTCAGACGTCTGACCTTGAGAAGGAAGGATGACAAATGGTTTTCCGCGCAGCTTCCGGAAATGGCGATATCGTTTACGACGCGTGGTTAAAAGGTAAACACCTTGCTTTAAATATTCTCTCACCTGTTTTCTTCATCTTCATAATATTTGTTTTCAAAAGATATATTGCAATATTGATATATTTTACAATAACAAATACAAAATTCCTCTTTTTTGATTTGAATAATTATACATTCACTTTTATTGATCTAAAGATATACGACAGAATTTAATTAAGTTTGTTTATGGGATTTGTTTTATAATTCATTTGTTAATGATAAATATAGTGTTGTTGTTATTGTTTCATATAAAAATCTTATATATTTTTTTAAAAAAGAAGAAGAACAACAACAACAAAACAACAACAAGAATCAAAGTAACAACAACAACAAATAATCCATCGACAAAAAAAACAAAAACAAAAAACAATATAATATATGTATACGTATTGTTTTTATTTTCTTAGGAACAAAGACTAATGCTGATAAGCCCATCTCGATGAAAAGATCGCTCGCTTTGCACTACCGTAATCCTATTGTTGATAACTGGCCACAACTTGGTGTGAAATACGTAAAATTTGCCTTCTACGACGAAGAGAAAGAAGTTGCACACGTTATTTTCGATGGTGCGAATAGTGACATAAAGACCTGGTTCGCCAAACAAAACGTATTGACCTCCAGATCTGACCTCAACACAGTCATACAATTACTTTTCTATTGATGGTCATTACATGGTTGGTCGACATGACAGGCGATTCTTCATCAATACGTTTAACGCAAGATGTCCAAAAGATCTCGGCTACTTGGCGGTGATCAACTCAGAGACCCCGGCAGTTTGTTTGTGGGACAATCATGCTACATATCCACAGTTCATTTATTCCTAGTTTACCTCCGTGGATTACTGGAATAGACGCATGTTTGGTACTGCTGACTACATGGCAATTTTATAAAGACAAGCGTTTAAAGCATAAGACTATATATGCCATTCTTTATTAAAACAATTTTTTACAGGGTGTATTAAGAAACCATACAGAAATCTATATTAAAACAAAATCAGTTAATTATATGTTAATTTTAAATGAACAGATATAACACAGAAGTGTATAAATAACTTTTTTTCTCAAAACCACAAAGAAGTGATTAACATTATTGCATCAATTAGCAAGAACGTTTTCTGTTTAAAATGTAGACCAGCAGTTACTTTATTTCATTTGAGTGTGTTTAATTGTCTGCAGTTACTTGATAGATATGAAAATGCTTTTAGTAGATTCTCATGCATAATTTAGGATATGGCAATCTTTAATAAGATATATGTATACCTTGATAATGTAACTTCAATCTATAGCACTCCATGCTCATTTAATTTTTATTTTTATCTTTTGTTTTTGCTTTTCAATATGTTGTATATATGATATATTAGCTCTTTTTTGAATTATGTATATGTTTGCTATAAAAATAAATCTTAAAACCAAAAAGAGTTTTTATACATGACCAGGTGGGCGCCGGCCCTAATGAAAAGCGTGGACTTTATTGACCCTGTCGGCAAAACCTTGGTATCATACATGTATGTTTATAAATGATTTCAATGAATATATTAACAATTACACTTTAAATAACCTTGCGATCAAGTCAACCCTAGTTTAAAGTCAAAATAATTAATAGAAATCAAATTATTAACCATAAGTGAATTTATATAAACAATGTAAAATATATCATTAGTACCAAAGCGTAGTGACTTTTATCTTTACAAACAATCACAAAATTAAAGTTTTTTCTATGAATAATGCGTTATTGAAATTACATATTATAATCAACCAATACTAAGTCTAAAAACAATTTATTAAAACATCATTCCAACTTACTAAATTGTTTTCTACTTTTAAATTCATGTATAATATAAATAATATCAAAATGAAAATTAATGATGCATGATAATTGCTATATACGCAATAGTTTTCTATATTAAACGATCATAGTCTTCATTTTTCAATTCAAAAATTAATTTCAAATAAAGAATAATGAGTTGCATCTCTGATATTGACTTCACTAAGGTACAATTTAGTACGTTTTGCAATAATAGATGAGATTTTTAAATGGTCTTTTTTATGGTGAAAATGAATTATAAATAGTTGAATATTGAATATATGTTGTGTGCATTTGAAAGTTATGGTAGATTTTCTTTTCTTAGTATTCTATTTTGTTCTTTTTTAATTCAAAGCACAAAAGAAATCAGATTTAAGCACAATACGCCTTGAATAATCGAAAATGTCATAAAGGTCTTAAACGCATGAACTGAGATTTTTGTGTTACGTTTATTATGTTTAAGGACAATGTTATATTCTTGAAAAAAAAGAGAAAATTTGTCGGTCAGCAAAATGCTCGTAAAGAAATTTTTTAAACACGACCATTCTCCCCCAGTTCTTTAATGGGGACAAAAGTATGAATTCTAATTCCAAAAATGTTAAGCTCTTTCTTGAGTATCAATAACAAGACTTTAAATGATGCAGATTTGATTGCAGTGCATTATTCACGAAAGAGTAGAAACAAAATAGAGTGAAATAAGAAAAGACTAGTACATCTTCCTTGAGGTAAGATACAAATATCAATAAAAAAATATGTAAACATATATCGTATCAAACAGGCTATGCATATTTTTGTCAAATTCAAATAACATTAGATGATGAAAGATTGTTTACCAATTTTGAAATTTTATTAAATGTGTGATAAAACTTGGCCATTTTCAACTTGAGTGGTTCCAGTATTTCTACTTGAATGCTGTATAATCACCCTTAGAATATGTTGCCTGCTTTTAAAATTGTTCATTTGACGTCTTATCTGTGATATGCAGGCTTCATAACCTCAGATCCCCTTTCAAAATTCCATTTTATTTAGTTCCGCCCATTATTTTCTCGTTTAGGGCAAAATCATTCTTTTACTTGGGGACCATACGCCGCTTAACATGGAATGGCACTACTGTGTCCCATTGAAGGTTCCATGATAACCGCCGTATAAACACATCTGCGGATGTTTCTAAATTCAAAATTTTACCATTTTTGTGTTAAATGTTGAATTCTGCTTAAGCCGGTGCTAGGGGGCGTAGACGGTAAATTGCACTTTCCAGTACCGTCCATGAACAGGCTCAATCAAACCGAGCCTGCAACATTTTCAATTTTGTTGTGTTGGACGTTCTTAAAGGATTCTGTTTTTTCTCTATTCTGTTGCATTATTTAAAAAACTTCATTTTTAAACATCATTAAAATAAATTAGGAATAAGTTGTACTTTTCAGAGCTGTCGAATCGCAATAATATTCTATTTCTATCCCCTTTATTATGAAATCAGCAACCACTTGGCAATTTTATTGCTAGTTTTATTGTTTTAGCAAGGAAACTTCTTGTGTTCCATATTACAATGTAATGTAACATCCTTTAACAAATTTATTTTGGATTTTATTACATGATATCTTACGTCAAAATATAATATCTTGAATAGCGTTATATAAAATCTCATGAGAAGTTTATTAAAATGATAGAAATACTTAATAATTATACCAATATAATATTATAGTATGCATGTTGTTTAAAATAAAACAAACATTTTAACTTAAGAATTATGACTTCATTCTGTAGCGTAGTTCTGATTTGGGATATATATAATAGTAATAGTACTTCGAAATACTTTCATTTTGTCCCCTTTTTTATTTCCTTTTATTTTTTTCAACTTTAAGATCTGTACATTATTTCGATCATTTTCAGCAATATAACATGTAGCTAAGAAACGTTATTTCATATGACTTATTCACTTTGATAATTGTTATTTACTTCATTATAAGACTTTTTACATATATACTAAAGACTTATCATGATATAAAGTTATCGATGAATACCATATAAAGTATTCATTGCAACAGATAAAGCATTTAATGTTTCAATGTGAATGATAAAGGATACAACATAACAAATATAAGATTAAATATATCATACAAATGATACAATATTACATATTATACAATAACTGACTGGTGAGCAAATGAATATGATGTGTTATTCACTTGTAAATGTCAATATAACATGTTGCGGGTGAATATCTCATCATATTCTATGGATCATCAGTAAATAATTGTTTTATTATATAATCAGTCTAATATTTAAAAAAAGTTAAGCCTTATGTAAAAATGTTATCAATGTATTTATCACTGCGGTGTAACTTTTAAATAATCGAAAAATATATGCCATAAAGGTCATTGGGCATTGAAGATAAGTCTGATTCCATCTAAGATAGAGAACATTCAATTCAGCCAGTGAATATGATACTACACACAGTAAAAATGATTTTATAAATTGTTATGTTGACTACGAATATAACCAATGAGACTGCAGCTTTTTAAGGTCATATAATAAAAAATTCCCCATAACCGATTAAGCCTTTAATATAACAGATAACGGATTAATTAAAAACAAATGATTTGAAATAACATATCATGCATTCAAAGGAAAAAGAAATGATTGCATATAACATAAAAAAAGGTTTAACATAACATATAAATCAAGAATTCAAACAACAAATGAACGAATCAATATAATTTAAAATGTTTTATATATCAGATCAAGAGTTCCATTAAACATAGAAAAAATAATATAACAGAGAAATGATTCAAAATTACATATATACAATAATAAGATCAAATATAACAGATAAAAAAAACATCCTGTGTGTGTTTCCTTATAAACAGTATAAATTGTTTCCTGTAAACTGATTGTTACATGTATCTATTTATCTTAATTAACTTATATATTGATAATATCTCATATTGAATACACAACATTAGCCCTACTGTATACATTTAAATATCGTAATATATCCTATTCGTTAACAATCTTATTCATATTGATCTAAAGATAACTAACATTCGTGAATGTTGTTGGAATTGTTTCCAGTAAAATCGCAATATTTGTATAAAATTAACAATAACTGGTTAAAAGAAATATTTAGCATATAAAAGTCACATATTTCATACAAATTCAGTACTTATGAAAAGTACTACTCGAACTATCAATGAATTATAAAAGCAGAGATTTTTGTCTTCTATAATGTAGCGAAGTAAATCATTCTAGACTACTAATTAAATAAAGTAGCCCATAAGCTTGTGTTTATCGCCCTTGAATTACATAACTAAACAGTCTTCAATTATTCTACTGAAAGTGGTTTGACATTTATTACGTTTTCAAACCTTTGTTGAAAAAGCTGCAGTTTAAAATCGGTATACCATTTGTGTTACTGCATTTTCATACCTGTTACTTTGGATGCAGACATTTAGTTTTTCAGAATATGTTACGTAATGTTGTTCTTAATGTTCTACATATGTCATTGTTTAAAAGGCAATAATAACTATATAAAAGTGTCATAAACGTTCTTGTCGTCTTTATTTTATTGGGTTTTAACCCACATACTTGCTGTTTCATGGAAGTATATAATGGTACGATAATAATGATGACGCCCTTACAAGGCTTAGTGAGCAATAGTGCGTGCGAATTCATTTTATTTATAATTTTTGTACTAATCAAAGGACATATTCAAATACATTTATTTTACATCAACGAGACACCTTAACCAATATGATGCATCAAATTGTTTTTGGTTATTTTACATAATTTTGAATGCACTCTAGGGTTAATTGATTTTGTTACCTGTTATTGACTTTTAAAGATGCAATCTAGATAGGAAAGTTATAAAAAATGACATGCTCTATTGTGTCCTAACTTGAATGTTTTAAGTAATTTATATGAAATTGATATTTCATTGCGTATTATCAAGTTCTAGACAAAGTAGAACAAGTTGCGTCCGAAAATAAAATATGCTTTTTATTGTGAAATTTAATGTTTAAAACTTATCAGTAATCCATTTTTGTTATTCCCTCGAAGTATTCAATTTCACTAGAATTGGATTATTTTACTCACTGAATCCTATTTCAGGTATGCATCAAGCTAAGCTAATTTGGGTAAACTGGTAAGGTACTGAAAAATGGCAAAATCAAGTGGCAGTCGTGTATAATATCTACATCCAGTGAGACTTTTTTCTCAACTTAGCAAAAAGAGCAAATTCGCACGGGTTTCTGGCGA